GTGGCTTCTTTAGGAAGTGAACCTAGAGAAGGAGGAAGCGACGCGGGATCGAGTACCGATGCTCGGTCCGATTCCGCGGCAAGGAAACTCGCAGAGCCACGCCCGAAAATGAGTGGGGCTGCGAGAAGAAAGCTGAAGAGACAGCGGGCGAGAGAGAGGGCTGAAGAGACCCCTGAATCGGGTGCTGCCTCTGGAGGCGTAACAGAAGCTCGGGGGGAGGCAGGTCCATCAGGGACGCAAAAGCGCCCCAGACCGGATCTCGCGACCCCCAGCCCCTCAGAAAAACGTCTGGACAAGAAGCCCAAGGTCAGTGACCAAGGGTCCTTTGCACAGGCGACTAAAGGAATAGTCAGGGTGGCACTCATTATTAAGGGTTACCCTGAAAACAAGATCAAACTCGGGGAAATAGCCATTATTAAAAAGCTGATTAGGGAAAGGATCCTGGGACTTCCAAGAGGCACCAGGGCTCCCCTCTTTACCGGAGTTTGGGAGAGAGACGGGGCAATCATTTGCGGTTGCGCCGATGTAGAATCCGCGGACTGGCTGAAAAGCCTATCTTCGTAGTTAAAACTAGGGGAGAATGAGCTACGTGTGCTGCCGCTTGAGGAGCTTCCGAAGCGCCACAGGCTGGTAGTACACCTAGAGGAGCCGGATTTGGCTGTCAAGGAGGCGTTAGAACTCCTTGACAGACAAAACGCAGGACTGGCAGCCAGAGAGTGGGTTGTCGTCAGGGGGAGCGAGAGCAGGGACGCCGAAAGCGCCCACTTCGCTGTTCTTGTCGGCGATTCCTCTCTAAAGGCCCTAAAGGACTGCGGAATAAAACCCTTCTGCGGGATGGGCCGGGCAACTGTAAGTTTGACTAGCAAGGAACGCGGAAAAGAGGAGGAAGCCGCTGGAACGAAAGAGTCTGCATAGAAATGACAGGTCTCAAAGTTCCAGTGGTGCAGATTAACTTGCATCACAGCAAAGGCGCCTCAGCGATTTTAGCTAGGGACATGGCTGTGATGCAGACAGCAATAGCACTTGTACAAGAACCATGGCTCTTGAACAACGCTATAAAAGGCCTGAGCGGTAGTGGCAAGATTATCTCGTCCACCACTCAGGGAAAAATAAGGACATGTATAGTGACAAAAGGTCTAAATGCAATCTTTGTGCCGCAGTTCAGTAATGAAGACATCACGGTGGTACAAGTGAGGCTTAGTCTGGACGAAGGGACCCACAGGGATATATTGATGGGGTCAGTCTATATGCCCTATGACTCCAAAGACCTTCCACCACAGAGGGAAGTCAAGGAGCTGATGAAATATGCGGAGGAGAAAGGGCTGGAGGTACTCCTGGGTTGCGATGCAAACTCCCACCATGTGGAATGGGGGAGCACGGGCATCAACCCGAGAGGGGAAAGCCTACATGAATTCGTCATAGGCAGCAAGCTAATCATCCTAAACAGAGAAACGGAACCCACCTTCATGGACTGCAGAAGACGTGAGGTTATAAACCTAACCCTGTGTACGAGGGGAGTGGCTGACCTGGTGAGAGACTGGAGGGTCTCAAACGAACCTTCGGGATCGGATCACAGGCAGCTACGTTTTGC